GTTTACTTTTTTGTGCGAAACAGCTTTGACAATTTATTGTTTCATTTAAATTGCAATAAGACGCGCTAAGAAATTACAAAACAAAGCATTTAATTTTATATAAAATCAATAAATATTAATAAATTTATGCAGCAACGAAATTCCTCATAATTATACAAAGAAATACAAAAAAAAAAAACGCCTAAATATATTGTTGAAAGTTGGCGAAAATAACTTAACCTCAAAATAAAAAAAGCCGGTTAAGAAATATAAGTTTGTGCAAGAAATTCAAACAAAACTGGCAACAAAATGACTTCCTTAATACTGGAGTCTAAAAAACTATGTCTATACCGTTGCCTCTCGGCGGTGGCTTTAAGTATTACAATGCAGTTTTTCTTACTGGCCGTATTTTTGCTGTTTGTCAACTTTCATGTGCTGCACCCGGTAATGTGGATCACTGAGACAGTGGGTTTGCTGTTTTCATTTTACACCTGGCTGTCCATCATGCCTTTAATATCGGCGGTCATTATTTATGGCATTTTATTAGGTAAATCACATTTGGCGGTTAAGAAGTACTATGCCACTCGTTTTCGTTGGCTGTTGGGTACAGCCGTGAGGAAATTTGCTTTCTTTGTTATACATCTGGCCATGGGTTTCTTAACTACTTGGCTATATGCCCGATACTTGCATATGGATTATAGGTTTGTTTATTTTTTACATGTTGTGGCAATTTTTATATATACAACAATTTGATATTTTAGGTCTCTTTTATACAAATGCTATGCCATGGATTGTTTAAACTCCTATTATATCTTCCTTATGGGTGCTGGCATCTCAGCGGGTTGTTATCATTTCATTAAGGAGAATTTACGCTCGGAACCTGAAGTAGATTATCCCATTTTGCAGGAAAATAAAGTAGTGAAAATACGTTCCTTACTGTACTCCACTTTGTACAATTCTTTGCTAAAATCATTTGTGCCCACACTATGTTATGCTTTGGGCTATTGTCTCTTTGGTGGTATGTTAAATCATCGTATTGCCCGCTTTTTTGGTGTTGAGTTGGAGGAAAGTATAGTGTCATTTTTTGCGGTGGCCACAAATTTGAGACTGTTGTTTTATGCCTGGATTTTATCTTCACAAATATTAAGCAACATGAATTTAATGCAAAAATTCTTTTCCATATTTTTGGCTGAAGAAATGCATTTTGTTATCGAAAAGAATCCCGTTGTTACTGATGGCCAAAAAGAAATTACCTTGGTGGAAGCTTTGGGCATGTCTCAAGTGCCCGTAGTGCAAAATTTAGCAGCTTTGGAATTGTTTACTTTGGCTTCATCACATATGCCTAGTAAAAGACAGGAAATATTTGCTCTCTCAGTGCCGGGTAAGATTTTTGTCGTTACTTAATCTTTAAGCAATAATTTCAATATATTTATAAAAACAGGTGGCCATCCCTATAATTGGAATCAACTGTCTGGTCAATGTCTTTCGCTTATTAACGCCTTTATAGAAGAACTTACTGCCTCGGTTAAAAACATATCAACCATGAAATCTTCACCATTATTTTGTCACACTGACAAACCCACTGCTACCGAGGCAGCTGAGAAAATTCTACTAAGACAATACAATGAAACCTATGGCATACGTAGAATGGCTAGTGAAGCTCCCACTACTAACATTGATTCTTCGGCACCCGCAAATATGTCTCCGAAAACTTCAAATGCCGTACAACGCATTAACGCTCAATTTGAACACATGTCCAAGCAATTAGAACAGGCCCTTAATACCGCCTTTCGTACTATACCCGGTTTATTTTATATGTTTGGCGAATCAGATGGTGCCAAAACTGCCTTCCTACTCTCTAATTCTCAAATGATTGTTTGGCTAACGCAAGGTCTGGCGGGTGTTTGTGCTGCTTCTATCACTGAAGATAAATACGGGGTGGTGCAGGTGGTTTTGCCACAAATTATCAAAGCCTTATTGAAACTTAAGGGAGAATTAGATAAACTAAATAATGTCAACTTGAATGGCAAAAAACTAGATAGAAATTTGATTACCCTAAAGAATGCTGTTAAACGTAGTTTGTATAAGATTACCTCAGTGTTTGGTGATTATTTGCGTGATTTAATCGATGATCCTATGGAAATACGTACTTTACATTGTTTTACAAATTATCAAGATATTTAATAATTACCATATTTAATTAAAATAGTTTTTCGATATTTGTATTTTTTTTTTGGTAAATATTAATATTAGTTTCTTATTTATATAATTTTATTTTTAATCCAATTGTGAATTTAATGTTAAGTTTTATTTTTTCATTTTTTTTAGAATTAAGTGTTTGTGTTTTGGATTATCTCTCAACAAAATTCTTTAAGAAAATAAATAAATATGTATTTTTATATAATAAAATTTTCTGAAAATATTTATAGATATCTTTTGTTGTTTTGCAAATTAAAATTTCGATCTTAGTTCGAAAATTAGGAAATTTTTCATGAAAATTAATTTTCTTACATTGAAAACAAATAAAATATTTAGCAAATATAACTGATGTTGAACAAGTTTTGGATTTAAAAATTTGCAAAAATCATTTTTCAAATAATAAGAATAGGTATTTTGTTTATTGTCCTTTATAAATATTACAAATTTATTTGTGAATTTTTACTATAATTTACTAACTTTAAAGATTTTATTTGCACATTTCTCTTTACTCAAAATCCTCTAGTGGAATAAGACATTTTTTGTATTTTAATAAGATTTTCATCTTTTAACATTTTAGACTCTACAACAATGGGGGCGGTGTTGCTGGTGGTAGTTTGTGGCACAGTTACAGGTGGGGGAGGTAAGGGCGTGTTAGCCATTTGAGTTAGTTTAGAATTGGCCTTTTTAAGAGCGCCTACAAAAGTTAAAAGAGAGAGAGAGAGAGAATAACATCAGTAAAATGACTAAAAATAAAACAATTATTTTTATTACAAATTAACATTTAATAACTTTTATTTTATAATTTAACAGAGGGGAAAAACAACAAATAAAAAAGCAGGTTTCTATTTATATTTTATATTTTTGATACTTAATTATACAAAACGTTGTTGTAATAAATGCTGTGTTAAACATTTAAGTACCAAACTATAATTAATACACTCTATTTTCATAGCAAAAGACATTATTTTAAATATTGATCAACAATATTCAAATACAAAACTAAATGACTAATCTCTTCCCGAAGTAAAATTTGAGTAAGCTAAATCAATTTCATATTTAAGCTTAGCCAATGCATTTGTAAGCTCAATATTCTCTGGTAGTCACTGTTTTAGAGTAGGACGTTCTTTGTTAGATTTAACAACTAATTCTTCATCGTCAGCAGCAGCAGTAGCCACATCTTCTTCTGAGACTTGGGTCATGTTTTGTAAAGGAGTTTCAGTGATTTGTGTCTGTTGTTCAACTGGTTTTACACTTATGGTCTGTACTGTTGGTTTTACATTTGTGAACACTTGGGTTTCTAGGAAATGTAGGGCTCTCATAATAAGACCACCCTCAGGATTATAGGGTGATATTTTCTGATAGTGTGATGGTGATGTTTGATTTGGTGTGTCTGGATTAAATGGCTGATATTCTTGTATTCTATCTTTGGTCCATCTGAAAATTGAACGTGATTCTGGAAAAAGGAAAAGCGATGATGATTAAAATGAAGAAAAACAAGAACTTAAAGGCAAAAACATATTAAAGCAATAACTTAATGTAATGTAGGGGGAAACGGATTTAAACAAATTTGTAAGGAAAAAAGGAAGCGATATTTTTAGTTTTATACACAAAATAAAATTTGCAAATCCAAAAAAAAAAAAAAAAAATTCTCAACTAAGGAAAACAAAAAAATGATATAGAAGTTTTATAATAAAAATAAATTATCTTATCAGTTACAATTTTTAGCATCTTGAATTTTCTATACTTGATTTTTAAGTGTTTCTTTATCCTTAATTTCAGTTTTAGTTGTTAGCGTTTCTTGTTTCAAATGTTCTAGTAGATTGTAGCAAGCTACTTTTAATTGATCTTTTAGGATTTTAGAAGACTTTATTAGTAACTATTGCTTTAGTCTATAAGTTAAGCAGTGCACTATATTCCAAAACTTACCTATATCGGCCAAGACCCTGGTCATTTCTCTTAATTGGGCATCTTGACGCTCCAAACGGAATGTCATTTCGGCTAAACGATTGGTTAGTTCATCCTTTTCTAGTTTAGCTTTTTCTAGTTTTTTAGCTTCGTTGCTTGTTTGCCTGAAAAAGAAATTTAAAGTTTTTTTTAGATTTCAACTTCGATGAATAAAGAAAATTTGAAGTTCATCTTATTTGGACACAACTCTTATATGTACATATATTCCTAAAAGCCACTTACCTAGCATATTCAAATATCAATAGACCAGCACCAATGGCGAAAATAATAAATTCACCCAATAGATTGGCACCCAGCTCCACGGCCATGGCTTCTGTTAGAGGTGGTACATTAACCGGTTTACCCAAGTTTAAGGCCCACATTTTCGTTTTGACCTCCACCCAATTGTAGACTAATTAAAATGAAAACACACAGATAGCATTGAGTATTAGCGTTCCTTACTTGCAACAAATAATTTCCAAAATTTACTTACGCTGAGCCGGTGGCATGCAAACATAGTTACGAAATAATGGATGTTCTTTGGCTTTCGATTTTATTATATTTGCTATGGGTTTACTTATTTGTTTTATAGCCAAAACACCCAATTTGGCAGCTGGGAAAGCGCCTATGACCATGGCGTTGTAAATTTAATACAATTTAATAAATGTTAAAAGGAAGAAAAAATGCTATTTTTGTTGAATTATTACAAATGGGCGATTTTTTTTTGTCCAATAAAACATCTGTTTGGGAAATTTTTGACAAACAGCTGTTAAAAGTGATGCCAAGTTTATTTGTGAAAAAATGACTGCAGAGGTCGCTTGTAATGGATTCTTATTAGAATTTGGCATTATTTGTTGATCATTTGCGCGCTTTTTGTTGACATTTATTTGTAAACAAACAAACAAAAGCTTGCAAAATTGTGTTTTTGAACAAATCGTGTTTTTTAAGCGAAGTGAAAATTGTGTTTTATTTATTTAAAAAAGAGTTTTAAATTAAAATAATTGTTAAAATATCAGAAAGAAAACTTTACTTTGTAACTAACTTTAAAAATAAACGAAAATGGATGCTGAATTAAAACAACAGTTTGATGATATGGGCATTGAGCCTCCCCAGGAAGTGGTGGACAAATGTAAGTTTTTTGCTTGTTAGAAATTTAATTAATTTTTACACAAAATTTTCATTATATTATTATGCAGCTGTTGAACTTTGTATTACCTATCATATTGATGATGCCTCCGAATTTGTTGAACAATGGATGGCTTTCAGTATTTCTCATTTGCATGGTGCCGAACCTTCGATAGAGCATTTAAATGAATTCGAACGTAAAGTTTTCCAAGCTAAACGTGAAAAAGAACTTATGGCGGCTAGCAAGAAAAAAGGCAATAAATTGCCATCTGCTCTTGCCAATCTTACACATTTAAATGACATTGCTTCGAGTAATTCCAATCCTCTCGCCATGTATGGTGTTGAGGATGATATGATGGATGATTATATGCCCGATATGATTAGTGCCGGTGTCGGTAGTAGTACAACTTTGGATGAAAGTGAAGCGGTTCCGAGTACTCCTAGCATTTATCATACGCCTAAGGTGAGTGAAGCAAAGATTTTTAAAGACGTTGTAAATAGGTCTTTACTATATATTGCAAGTACATGATATTGTTTTTCGTTTACATTTATTGATAATATTCTTAAAAAACGTGCAACTTAAACGTTAGTTAGTTTGAAAGAATGATGTATATGCATCAAATTCGAAGAAATACACTTAGGACTTTATTAGGCCTATTATGCGCTCCTTAACCAGTGCCTCAGGTGGAAATCGAATCCACCACCTCCGGTCTACCAGACTAAAACACTTACCACTAGAACACTAACCTAGTATTAACACTTGTTAAATTTTAAGATGATATAGGTCCACCTATTCAAAATTTATTCTAAAATTAGTTAGGGAATGGGTTTGCTTAGGTAAGGTTCTACATCAAATTCGAAAAATTTGTCACTATTTGTTCTAGCTAATGAAAAAGATGACATTCAAAATCATGAACATCAAAAAATTGCTATTAAGAGTACAATTACTAAGCAAAAACAAAAAAGCTATAGTAATTGCCGTTAAAACTACATTAAAACTTTAGCCATCTGCTTATTATTTATTAAAAGTTATTTGCGATTTGAGCCGTCTAGGGGTGTAAATAAGTTTTAAGTTTTTTGTATCTCTTTTGCTAAATGATCTAAGTTAAAGAACTCTGAAAATCTTATCATCAATAATCAATAACACATGATGCCATTCTTAACTACTAATTACTGCCAATTTGATTTGTCTGTCAATTACACAAAATTAATTGCAACTACAAAATTAATAAGAATAAGAATCGTATTACTTTTATTGTTACTATATAGATATATGAACATGATGAAACATCATACATTTTATAAGTTTTCCTGTTGTCGTTTTTCCACTCAATCTTACAAAGTTTACCATAAATCTTTAAGCAGAGACTCGATAACAATTTACAAATTTTAATTGTCTGCACTTTTTTACCTTCCCAGAGACAAAGACAAAAACATACATACATATGTATAAACACTCGATTGAGTTAGATTGAGTGACATGTATGTATGACGTGGAGTTTGGTTGGTCTGACGCCGTCATCATTTTTGTCATCGTAGCCATCATTATCATCATCCATATCCATTCAAAAGAGAAATAGTTTTTTTTTTATTAGCTATACCCTATACCAAGATGATAAAGTATAAGTTGTACATAAAAATCCTTAATTATATTACCTGCAAAATTTATTGGAGTACAGATCCATTAAAGTAATCCCAAAACTTTTTCTCTACTAACATTATTGGAGTACATGATAAGTTGTTGTTGTAACAGTTCGATTGTGGCCTATAGTTCTTTCCTGGGGAAAAAACTTTCGGTTGATACAGCTGTCGCTGGATTGACCATCTTTGATAGAGTATGACTCGAGAGTTTATCACGCCAATTGGATCGTTGGATTAAAGTAAATGATCCGTTTAGTAGTCCTATGTAATGCAGACATGGATCATGTTTATTTTTGGAAAATAACATGGTCCATAGCCTATAATACATATTGCGGATTATGTACTCCCATAATTTAGCAATGAAGTAGTTTTTAGATTATTCTGATGTAATGCATAGATGATTACGTGGTCCTCACCTAGAACATCACAATATTAAAAGCAGTTCTAGTCCCTTGAATGAATACATACCCTTTACACGAGTGTGCGGAAATAGTATCGATTGTTTCAGGATTTCTATTTAACGAAATTATAAATATTTTTACAATTCTTTTTGCTTATGAAGTGCTCAAACGATTCGATGCTGTCGATACTTTTACAGAATTTCTTTAATAGTAATATTCCATAAAACGAATGAACGAACAAAACAAACAATTCGTAATTCGTCAAGTTAATCGTCAAAGCGTCAAAGTTACATCAGATAATTATTTCATTTCCAATTTGCAATTGCAATAACATGCATAAAGCAGGGACAACAGAATGCAACAATACGCGCATAGCGCTAAACAAACGCACTCTATTGTAAATGCACAGTGGGTCAAAATAAAACAAAAATTATAACTTAAATTAAAAAAAATTCTTTAAGATAAAATAAAATTTTTATAAATTAAAATTCATAAGAATTTACAAAAAAAAAAAAAAAATTCAAACCGTTTTAAAAAAAATTTAATTTTTTTTAAAACTAGCCTCAATTCACAAGATAACTATTTTACTTAAACATATTTTTTCAAAACTATTTCTCACAATTTTTTTTCTATCCAAAACTAATCAAAGAATATTGCATGTACTATATGCGACACTAAGCATGAGCTTAAGAATTGTTTAAAGCATTGTTGCTGTTTTTTTTTTAATTTTTTCTATAAAGTTGCTGTACATATTTATGTAAGTTTTCCCTTTATATCATTGTTAATGCAGACAAATGGAAAGACAGACAAAAAGCGACATATTTATATAAACTCCTCGATTGTAGTCGTCGCAATAATAGATGATTTTCTTAGTTGGCACATATTGCAGTTTGTTTTGTTATTGGTATGTTGCTGTGATATTTTTGTTTGATGTTGCGCCTGTTTGTTTGGTAACTGAACAATTTTTGTAACTTAAAGGTTTTTCTTCTCATACAGACGGACATAAAGAAATACAGACAGACTGACAAACATACTAGTATGTATGTAGTAAGTATATCTATATGTACATATAAGCAAACTTTTTCCCTTGTCTTCGAAAAGTTTCTTGGAAATTTTGCTATTTTTCTTCCTATATTTCAATACTTTCGTACGGTAGTTGGTGTTGGTGGTTGTGATAATAGCAATAACGATGATGATGAAAAAGACGAAAATGATGTTGATGATGACGCAGCTTTTGATGATCATCTTTTATTTTTTTGTTTTTGCTGCTATTTTGTCTATTCTTGTTGGTGGATTTTTCTGTCTTTTCTTCAATTTACAAACATTTTGTATTCTTTGTCATTCTTGACGTTTTTTCATGTAATGATCAACAACCGTCCAACAGCCAACAACAGCAACAAAAGCGTCATCTACAACACAACAACTAGCAATAACAATAATAATGACGATGACGACAATGACATGAACGTGAACGAGATGTCATTGTTGTTTGTTTTTCCTTCAGTGTTTTTTTTTTTTTTTTCAAATTTTATTTTTTTCCTCGCTGTAAAATGATGATCGTTGTTACCTAGGTATTGTAGTAAAATGTTGTATGTCGCATTTTATCTGTTGAACTAAACAAACAAAAATAATATTAAACCAACCAAACAACTACTACCAACTATTTTTTCTGTACTTTATGTATATTTTATTTTTCGCCGACTGATCGTCATCATTCATCCACCACCACCACCATCGTTTATATGTATATACAATACTTAACCAACCATTCTATCCAACCATCCATCCACTGTTGTACTATATTAAAAGCCTTCTTTCTTTTTCTACCAATTTGTTTTTTTCGATGTTGTAATAATTTTTCGTAAATGCCTTTTGATCTTTTTGTGTAAAAATTTGATGCGTATTTAACAACGGTTACGAAGCGTAAATAAAACAAGCTTCAAAAATGTTTATTCTTATTGTTTTTTTGTGCGTTTTTTTTAAGTTTTGTGATTTGTGTAAGTTTTTAAAATAGATTTAAAATAACTTTAGATCTGTTTATGGGGGTTGCTTGGTGATATTTAAAGGTAATTAGGCTAATTGCGTTATATGTATTACAAATTCTATAAAAAATTTCAAAAGATTTGGGTATTAATATATGTATATCCACTTGGAGACCTTTAATGCTATCCCTTTAATTACATATAAGAAGATATACTGCTCTCGTATGATCCAATTGAGGCATATTTTGCAGCTTTGATAAGTGTCTTTTCAGAACTCTTAGGTTTCATTGTCTCCCAGCATAATTTCGAATTGGTTTCACTAATGATGTGTTTCACTAATCTGACCCTAATAAAACTGAACTATTTTTATACCCTACACCACTTTAGTAGAGAGGGTATGTAGGGTTTGTGCTGATGTTTGTAACGCACAAAAATATTCTTATTCTGAGTCGAATAAGTCATGTCCGTCTGCCTTACTGACTGTCCATGTAAAGCTTGTGCATAAGGTTCGGTCTCAATTTTCAAGATAATTGGATGAAATTTGTCACATACGCTTTTTTGGCCCAAGGACGAAGTCTATTGAAAATGGTTGAAATCGGTCCATTAATTCATCTGGGCCCCCGAAAAGGGCTTTGAGCACATAATTATGTTAAATAAATTGTTAAAAAGCTGCACAACTAAGTTTTATATTGATGACCTTGCCAAGTCGTTCCCAAGACAATTGGATCTTCGCTCCGGAACGACCCGAGTCATACTGGGCCAAATATTGTCAACCCAGCGACAGCTGTATAAACCGGAAGTTTTTTCTCCAGGAAAGAACTCTCCGAACTGTTACAACAACAACCAAGTTTGCCAAGTTTGAAAAAGATGGGGCCTCATTTGGCCCTAGCCCCCATACAAAGTCCCTTTCAGAAAATGACTTGAATGTCAAAAATTCACTTATAAACACTAATTTAGCACAAATAAATACTATATAAATATAGCCCCCATATGAAGCCTCTGTTTCCCATAAATTTTGCATATATCGGAAACAAGGCAATATTCGAGATAAATGTGTTAGGGTATCATATGGTCGGCCTTGCCCGACTTTCTTACTTAGAAGAATTATTAGCAATATTTGATTAGAAATCTAGCCATAACAGTAAAAGACACGAATTAAATTTAAAAGGGTGAACTGTTGTTGTTTTTTTCTCTCTAAAAAACACAACTAAGTGTTTATCTAAGTGGAAATCTTAACACTTCATATCTAACCATAAAATATTTAAATATTTTTTGTTGTTTTTTTGGATTCTATAAGACTGATGTATTACAGTAGTAACATTTACCTGCTAACATGTCATAATAATAAAAAGCTCCCCTCAAAAACAATAATAATAGACGTATAATTAAAAAAAAAGAAATCAGATTCGTATAATAAATAGATTCTACATAGTAATGAG